GCTAAGACCTGGCATGAGGGTATGAAAACCCTAACCAGGAGACTAGGTCACAAAGGCTCCGTTGGGCTCCCTGGCTAGGTACCTCGGGATGATCGTAACCTATTGTTAGCTACATTGAGTGATATGGCTGCGTGTCGCAAACAGTGGCGCTCGTGCATCCACTCGTTATTTTCCTAACACCACTCTATATGTATTCTCCATCTTCCGCTTGAATTTGCTTCGACATTCCAATCTTCATTTCGCTCTTTTATCCAAATGGGCAACCCAAACCGGCGCACGAAAGTGCATGGTTAAGGGTTGTAAAAGCTGAACTGACTGAATTCACTCCTTGGGTGATCGTTAATTCTCCACTAGTTGAATGCACTTAAATGTGATGAAAATCTTTACCAACAAAGCTGTAGCACAAGGTGCAATAACTTTTCTGAGACCAGAATCGAAATGCCNACCTCATTCGGTTGTGTAGACAACTGCAGCGACAACATAACTCAGACAAAAAGCACAATGCTTTATGATGACAGGTACCTGTTAATCTGATGACCAATCTCTGAAGAACTGCCCAATGCCGCGAATTCACTGTTTCACAAGCATATTGAAACCCTAAGAGAGAAGTGCGTACATTCTTCCGGGAATGTAAGCTTATATACCGAACTGTCTTTTGCGTGTGGTGTACCTAATACTACCCTACACTATCTCGCTATTGCATCGCCCTTTATCGTAGGTTCGGAACGCGCCATCGCGTCCCAACTTCTGCACTTAGTTCTTTGCCTATACCCATAGGCATTAGGAAAAATAATAGATAGGTTAAGTTCCCCGCAAGTCTTTTTGATTGGTGTATTTATCACACGGCAGTATGCGCTCTCATCCTCCTAAAAAGCTTTTGATTTGTGCAATTTGCAATTGTTGGATTTCGGTTTCTGCCCTTTGGTACACGTTTTCTAATCTCTTTCCTCCCGTTTTATTCTACATANGGTCTAGCTGTAGACGCGAAGCGCGCCGGCAGCCAGGCCACTCCGCTCCGCGATCGTTTGAACATAAATGCTGGAGATCCGGAGGGAGCCATGCTGGGTGCCGATAATTTCCATCCTGGAGCAAAACCAACCAGTGGGAAATCGGGATTACGACAGAGTTTAGCATCTCTCCCAGCCCCGCGAAATAACTATGAAATCTTTGTCCCAGAGGAGGCGGATGTCGATGGAAAAACGGTTGATCTGGATGATTCTGCTGCTGCCGAGGACGACGCAAGTGGCACAGCTGCTCGAATTGCAGATCAGTCTGATCTAGATCGACTTCGTGAGAAACAACAAGAGGCGGAGGCTCAGGCAGCCTGGTCTAAACGCAGTCAAGTTGTACGACGAGGGTTACCACGTCCGGCTGAAATCAACCATTCTATTCTGCGCAGTGTACCACCCACACAGACGCCTCAACAAGAATCGGCATTGAGTGATCTGCAACGGGTGCGTTACCCATGCTCGCCTTTTCTCTTGTTAGATTGTTCAAAGTGTGCTGCATTTGCATATCTAGTGAATATCGACTACTCTCCCTCTCTTTATTTTTCGTCCTTTTGTAGGCTGAAGAGATGATCAAACAGGAAATGATCACCATGATGCACTACGACAATTTGCTCAACCCACCGCCAAGTCAATTGGACGAAGCAACCAAACAAGCAACTACTGCATCCGGGGCCGTGTCAACCGCACAGCAGAAACGATACATGCAACAGGCCAAAACGACACATGAATCATATCTGCGCAGCACACCATTCGAACAGTTTGATGACTCAGATTTAAAGGAAGTAAGCAATCTGTAGTCACTCCTCTTCGTTCTAAACCCGGCCCCAGTATTACAGCAAAGCCAACCTCATTAGGCGTGCCTTGGTAAACACTAACTTGGTCATAAAATATTTCACTCCTGTCTTTAAATTTGGTATTTTCGATTTGACTGCTTACCTAGATTATAGAGAAGGTTCTCGGTCACCGCCAATTACCGGCAACCACGACGTCTATGAGTTATTCAGTTGGATTGTTTGAATCTTCATTCACTCCTACCAAATTGTACCTTTAGAAATTGCTCTCTACAAAAAGCACATAGTTGAGCTCCCGGCACCTTAATACTCTTTGCACTGGATTTTTCGTTATTTGCTTTTTGTTTGCTCCGAGAGACAGGTTGCTCCAGGTTTTGATAACAATAAAAATAGTCATTGGATTTAATAAAGTAGGTGTTGTTTATTGGTGCTAGTCAAACAGGTTCAGAAATCGTGAATGTTCACAGAGGTAATGGAGCAAAAGGGTAGCTAAGCACAACGGTGACTCAAAGTTTCATTGTATCTGGTTACTATAGGCGGTAAGCTGCCTCACTATCAATACCACACCCATTGTGTGTGATTCGCCACCACCAGTGACCGTTGCTGATTCCCATAGCTAGACAGTGGATCATCTGGTCTATAGTCTTCATTGGTTTTACTGTTCATCACACCGGGCTGTACGATGAAAGCGTGGGTCGTTGATGACTCAACTTACCTGTTTGAGAGGATTCAGTTATTATATGACAGAATCCTTTTATTATGCACCTTTGTGTGATGAATGACAGACAGGGTGAGCGCCATAGTCACGAGGATCTGCCGGCAATCTAACTCCTAAAACCTAAAGTGGCGAACCATGTAAAGCCCCGCTAGTGAGGCCGCAGTGGTTTAGTCTCTGTTACCGGCGTGCTTTGGAGCCAATGGTCCGAGGTTCGAACCCCACCACCATCACCCAACTTTGTTGGTAGGCAGCTTTGTTGTCATCCG